CAGTCATTCAAATCACCATCTGTCAAGCGTTTTAGAGGAAAAGATCCATTAAATTACAAAGATGCTCTTCTCAGAGTAAAAGGAATTGATCAGGAGATGGGGGCTTGCGGTCGTAAGACGGTCTTAAAAGTCGAGGGAAACCACCTCAGTTGTTAGGAAAGCGAACGCGTAGAATTGCGGCTACCGTTTTGATTGCAGTGCTACCTTTGATTTGATTTTGATTTCAGAGGCATAAATAATCGGTTCCACTGTATCCTGTCGCTTGCAAATTAAATCCTTTTCTCTTCATTTGGCCCTGCAAAGCTCTACAGTGCGATTGACTAGATGCGCGAATGTGTGCTTCCACACACATGAAGAGTGAATGAGGGGAGAACGATGTGACCTTACCGGTAGGGGCATATGTAGAGAGATAGGCGGTCAACTAAATTAATTCAACTACATTAATTCCGTTAATTCCAGTATAGAAGTGGCCTTGCATTCCGCCTTTATTAAGGGTAAATTTAGCCTTACTAGATCCACACCGTCTTCATGTGGACACAAGTTGTGAGACCAAAACCACGAATGCTCCCATTTCTAGGCACCTAGCACACACACCCTCAAAACTGCGATAATTGAAATGCTATGCCATGTACCGGAGGTAGCTGCACGAATAGCTAGAAGTAGTGTTGCTTTAACTTCGTCAACCAGCAGTAGAATCGAGGTATCAGGATTTGATTTGGATTTCGCAACACCGTCTCAAGCTTTATTGGGTAGTGGTGAATACCAAGTAGGTTTTAGGTGATAGCACTACCCGAAGAAACCAAACACTTAGCAGTGTAATTCGGCCCTTAGCCACTATGCCCTATGTGACTGGCACAGGTGGGAATGTAGTAGCAAACGCCATAATCATGTAGGCGAAGACAGCGAGGAAAATGTGACTTGGAGACATGCGGTGATAGAATCCATACTCACACCATAATTACCGAGCTTTTTTAAAGGCGTAACCGTCGCACCCAAATGGAGTGGAGCCACCCAAGGGCTGATGAAAGGTAGGAGTGGGTACCAGACGGGTCGCGTTTTGATTGGCTGAACAGGATCACACATTTAAAGTGCTTGCATCAGCAGTCTTTGCATTTCAATGCCAATGTGGAGGGTTAGGGAGGCAACCTCGAGCACAGAGTAAGCACCACCTAAAATTCAAAAGAAACTGTAGCATTCTTTGGAGTAGAAGCAACAGGATGGTTAGTATGGACATGTGAAATGCGAGATAGACAGATTTGCACCAAATATGGAGTCACTAAGATTGGAAATCGGATTATTTTGATGTGGTTGTTTAGGCCTGATACATGGTGAATTGATAGTCTTTCTACACTCAGGCGGCTGCACAAAAGGACATTCATTAAAGCCTCCATGGAAATGCGTTGCTATTCATTTACTCATACTCACCCGCCTCAACGCGTTGCTTTAATTATTCATTCATTTGTTTAGGACTTGGTTTAAGATAACAAGAATTCCAAAGTGCACTTCAGCGGTCACTCCACTTCACGCTTTTCTTTATGAGCACCTCAGGATGTTCAACAATGTGCCTTATCACAGCATTGTATCGTGGCTCACTCCACTTTAAATGATCTCCTCACCACATTCAAGCAACAGTTCCAAAATACTTGTAGTTTAGCTATTGAAGTTGACGCTTTAGATGGTTCCGCATTCCATGGACGAATGGCGAATGGGTAATAAATGGGGTCTTTCACATGAATTGCTCCTCATCATTAATTTTGGAGATAGGCTACCGGGTGACCACAATAAAGTGGAAATCCATACCCTACTAGCAGATCATGGTGTTACAAGCACCATCTTTCCATCTCTCTATGAGGAATTTGCACACATGTAAGCACCCAACATTGAAGGTGTTCCATATACCATCGTACAACCACCCAGCCATTCAGGAAATTAGAAGTCGGTGGTAAAGTGTTAATTCCCAACTTCATATCATCCATCTGTGCTACTGCCACTACTTTAGAAAATACATGCCGATCCAACAGACTTTAGCTGATGCTTTCCGAAAACTCTTCATTATTACGCCAATGGCAAAAATGCCTCAAATTTTCCCTTTACTTCTTACTCGTTTCGACCTCTTCCACCTCCTTCGCCTTATACTCCTTCCTGTCTCTTAGCAGTCGGAGATCTAAACTAGACACGCACACACAGGGACAGACACCATCCCTTCACTCGGACAGTTAGTTATTGTATTCACTACGCGAAAAGTACCAAAGTGGACAGGAACTATTCCATGCAAAAGGTGCTCTTCTTAGAACGAAAGGCACTGAACATGAGATGGGGGTTTTCAATGAACATCCATCTACACAACTGGTGATAAAATCGTTTCTATGTGCGGTGCTTGCCATCACTTTA